TTTTATGCAAGACCAAATTAGGAATCTTTTTCAGTAGCTTTTTCGTACCAGCTGATAGGTTTGCGGACACGAGACAATTGAGGGTTTTCGGCAAGTCAGTTTTTCATAATACAGCTCGATGCTAAAAGCTTTGCTACAAAGAATCGCATGCTAGAAAGAATTTCGCTTTTAAGGAGTTGAATGGAGAGGATTCGCGAATTATTTTCACCGGAGGCCGAAGGAAGATTGCCATGGAGCTGCTCTGGTAGACTGGTTCTCGGCAAACCATCCCGCGACTTCGGATAATCTGTTTTTAACCGTCCTCTGCACCGTCATGACAGGCATAATCTGAGCAGAAAATCACGTCTTTGAAGGTAAAACAGTTGACGAGCTGCAAACCGATCCTCTTCGAATGCCCCGATTCTGTCGAGTTACTGCCCTCGAGCTCGTGCCATACAAACTGGCAGAAAGGTGAAGTGGATATAGTTCTGGCCGAATACATGCATCATCTCCGAAAGCGCTTGCGGTTTTGGTCTCGTGACGGTAGCATTAGGACTCTTGTCCAGCCATCTCCCTTATCCTAAATAGATGCTTTTTTTTGCCAATATTATAAAATAATTGCCAATTAGTTCTGATAAACAAGTGTTCTCAACTGAACAATTTGCATAATCATCTAATTGCTTAATCTGCAAGATTTAGGCGTATTTCACCTTGGAAACCATTTCTCTTAGTCTAACCGCATAAGAAATACAGGAGGACACCAACGGTGGTGGATCTTCCACAATTCGCGTGACTTATCTCGGTTATTTCCGTAGTAAACAGGACGTCTTATTATATGGTGAATTTAGACTTGACATTTATTCAATCAATTTACTGTAAGAATTTTTCTAGTTTTGCCAAATGACAAAGTATTCATACAAATATTTATGAAATAGATTATGATCTAGAAGTGCTTGATCCATGTGGGCATTTCCTCAAGTTGGTGGCATTCAAGATACACTAGTTGAACCTCGTGTTTTTCTTACAATTCACCATATATATATATATATATATATATATATGGTGAATTGTAAGAAAAACAC